TCGTCGTAGATGAGTCGGCGTTTCCTACGCTGGACGATATCCAGCGTGACTTACGACTGGCTTTTGAGCCTCTTCAAGATGAATCTTGCTTACTTGCAGACTTCTTCTCACTCAGACAGGGCAAGCTGTCGATGCGTGACTACGTGCAGAAGATACGTCATCTTGCTTCGTACGTTACCACGCAGCCAATTGACATGGCTTCACAAGTCCATGTCTTTATTTTTGGTATGCAAGAGGGTATGACGCGTTACTGACCTCACACGTGCTGAGCCAAAGTCTTTCGAAGAGGCATTTGCCCTCGCGCTTCGTGAGGATTACACTGTCGCGTCGTCGTTCCTGCACGCAGCGTCACAACATCCCCGGACGTCTGGCCCAGAACCAATGGAAATTGATGCAATTGAGTCCTCTCGTAGTCGCGGCAAATCATTAGGCCGCGACATTCGCAATCCTAACACGATGAAGTGTTTTTGCTGTGGCAAGACGTGCCATCGTGCGGCTGTCTGTCGATCACCAGCTCCGGTGACTATGAACAAAGCTGTCTCACGAGAAGATGCTGTGTCTTCAGTGGTTCCGCCAAGTAACGAGCGGTTCCAGAAGGCGCGGGGCGTCCTACTGGCAGAAATGGAGCCCCGAGTACTCAGGTGGCAGCTCGGGCTCCAAGCCCCAAAGTTATTCACACTCAGTTCGATGCCACCACCATACGCGATCACTCGAGACTGATTATTATCAGTCTCATCGTTGATAGAGTGAAGCGACCGCTCCGAGCGTTGTTGGATTCTGGCGCTTCCAACAACTTCTTTCGTGCATCCTGTTCCTCCCTTCTCCCGTCGACTGTCACGGTTCGAGAATGTACAGGTGACATCGTTGTCAAAGTTGCCGATGGACAACGAAAACGTGTTTCGCGTAAAATAGTGATTTTACCGTACACCTTCGACAGTTTCCAGAGTAGTGACTAACTTAGTGTACGAGATGAATTATGCATTTGATTGCATACTTGGGATACCGTGGCTGTCACGGCATCAGCCGAAGATAGATTGGCTATCTCGGTCCGTCAAACGACGAAGTGGTTATGACGTCAGTGAAGTGTTCACTCATTTGTTGGTCGCGTCATCCGATTGACCTCAGGTGAGGGTCGTGAACGAACTCGCCACGACTAGTAGTCAAAACAGAGAGAACGATGGCCCTCTGTGTGCGGTATGTTCATTACACTGATGGGGTCACAGAACGAGGCGGTCAAGCAGCGGATCCCGCATAGACGGACATCAGTCAAACAGGGGGATCCCAATTTACAACGAGGCGGTCAGAAAGGGGTTTCCCGCATACACAGACATCGTTTAAACAGGGGTTTTCACGACGAGGCGGTCGAGCAGGGGTTTTCGCGTATATACACATCTGTTAAGCAGATTCTTTCGAAAAATATCGAGGCGGTGAAGCAGGTGCTCCCGCAAAAAAGTACATCAGACGAGCAAAGGCTCCTGATCAATATCGAGGCAGTCGAGCAGGGACTTCCGCAAACAAGTACATCGGACAAGCAGAGGCTTCCGATTAATATCGAAGCGGTCGAGCAGGGCCCCCGCAAAAATTTGCACTTCGATCAAGCAGGGGCTTTCGAGTGTCGCCGAGGCGGTCGAGAATGAGCTCCTGCATACAATAGAGGCGGTCGAAGACATGCTCTCGTGTCTAATTGACGAGAACAGGTGGACTATGTGTAATGGGGCACCCTCCGACTATACTGATAACAGTATAGTCTACCTTCACTGATGACAGTGAAAGCAGGTGCCTCAATTACCTCACATACACGTGAGCAGAGGAAGTCAATCAACTAAACGAGCGCTTAGTTGAGAAGGAAAAGAAAACTGTATTTAATAAAGTTAACTATCTAATAAAATTAATATGTTATAACCTATGTAACTATAAAAATTACAACTATGTATGTTCACAACTTGCCCTCCACTCATTGCCCGCGTCCATCGGTCATTGGTCAGCGCGTTGGTTGATATGATGGCCCATATCAACCAATTAGAGGGCATCTCCAACTTCAAGGAGATTTAGGGACAATATTATAAGAAAAGATAACATTGTCAAATATTATTAGCTATAATAATATTTTTATTGACACTTCATATAAGTGTCAATATTATGTAACCGACTCACCCCGTTACACTATGGATCCGCATGATACTGATGTGGTGGATACTGAGCTCCACGTCTAGAGGGGGTTAGATCATTCTCTTGTGATAGCAACGTGCCAGTCAATTCAATGCCACATACATCTACATGGTAAACTAATAGTCAAATAATACCGGCAATACACAAAATCAGTTGCAATCACTTAAAAAGGTCTTGTTACTTCATTCTTGATAACTTTCCATGTCTTGTTACTTCATTCTTGATAACTTTCCATAAATTTACTTTTCAGTTATGATGGCAAGTGATTGTAAATAAACGGTAGCAACTTTTTTCTTTATTGATCTCTTTACTCATTCGACAATTGTGACAAGATGGTGCACGTTACTATAGTCTGTGCGATAATTGGCAAGGGAAACGTGTTTAGTGTCGAGATTGACGATGCGCAGTCGATGTACTACTTGAGACAGGCAATTGAGGAACAATACGAAGAGATTACAAGCCGATGGGATCGACTGCAGTTTTTTCTGGCAAAGAGAGACGGCAAATGGCTTTCTACAGATGATTCCGATGTAGCTGCTGTGCATAGCGGAGATGTTCCTGAGTCACTGGAAGCCTTGTTATTTGAAAAAATTGATGATAAAGATGATATTTGTAATGTTTTTGTACCGGCTCCACGTACGAAGGAGATTCACGTGTTAGTAAAGATCTGCTCGGGAGAATATATCAAACTGAAAGATTCTAAATATACGAGTCGGATGAATGAATTAAAATACTACCGTGATCGAGGAGAATGTATTCGACGTAATTGTGGCGACTACTGTGACCAGATCCTGAACAAAATTGATAACTTATACGAGTTTCCAGTTCATCCAATGCCGTTCATATGTGTGGCAGCTTCATCAGGTATGGGAAAAACACAGCTTGCCTTTGCTTTGGGGGGACGGCGGCCGTGGTTTTACTGGCCTGCAATTAGCCTTGGAGAGGGTTCACAATTAATTTATCTAAACTTTTGCTCATTTTCGAGAGAATTCAACAGCTTTACGCGGAAAGATGATCCAATGAAGAAGCCTGAGGAGGACATCCTTGACACTACATCCGAAATTTACGAGAGTGAGCATTTATGGACGTACGGATTCATTCGAGCGTTGCTGGAGCACTGCAACTCGAAAAACAATCGACCCGCACAAATGATTTGCTTTGAGGAAGAAACATCGCTTTATGTGGAGAAGTGTAGTCGTAACTCTGTCGTTGCAGCTCGTAAAAGAATGGGAAAGAATGCGGTGCCATTTTTCATTCTAGATGAAATGTCGGAATTGTATGGAGGTAGGAACAAGGTGGCGTTTCAGCGTAACGTCTTTCGTGCGTGTGGTTTGGTCGTGATTGTAATGGGCACCGATGCCAATATTACTAAACTGGCTAGCCATTATAAAACGGAAAAGTGGATGACGCTTTTTGCTCGTTTGCCACCGTATCAGCCTATGGATTTGGTGAACGAAGAGAAACAGGCTGCTTGGATACGAATGAAAGAACAGTATCCTTTCCTCATGGACATTGTGGTAAATTCGCGGGGGAGATTTGACAAGTATTTCGTGGACAAAGTGGCGGAATTTGCGATGAAGGGTGAGAGTGTCAACCTGTGCGATTTGCTGAATAATGCATTTGACTACGTTGGCAACAGTACATACAATGGAAAAGGTTTCATGTATAGAAAAGATGGAAAGGATGCCCACCTAATGGCGACAGCGTACACGAACGTTGACCATGAATCTCGCATTGCCGGTAGCACCGTGCCCGAGCCACGGCCGAAAAAGAGGAAATTTGCCGGTGTGGTGGGGACGCAATGTATGCATGTGCACTTTGCAAACTTAGTGGAAGACCAGCATATTGATGTGATGCTTTTAGAAGGTAAGTTGAACGTTGATGGTGTACACTGGGAACCACGTTGTCGTTTTCCGAAAGTCGAGGAGGACGTTCTGCTCTATCTCGCGGTGGTTGGTGGAAAAGATAGTCTGGGCGACGCCAATCATTATAAGTATAAGTATTCAGCCATGCGTATGTTCTCGAAAGGAAAGAAACACATAACTCAGGATAACAGACACGCTCTGAGCAGCGATTTTATAACGTTCGAGAATATGCTCGCTCAAGCGATTTTCTGTGCATCGCGAAGAAATGGGGTGCGAGGCATTCCGTTCAAAGACTTTTTTTATGGGCTGCTGGGTGAGTTTCAAAACGAGTTCAAGTGGATGAAAATGATCATGAGCGACACACGTAAAAGTGTTGGTGTCACCGAGTTAGTTGCCGGGTATAGCAATCTGACAGCATTGCCAGACACGATGATTCCTTTTTTGGCTCCACCCAATGCGACGTGGCCACGATTTATTGTCGAGACGCGTGATCGTGGATGCAACTTTGGTCACTTGATTCGAGCTACGAATAAGAACGTGTACGTGCTAAACATGGAGAACGAAGATGGGATGCTACCTTTTCTTTGCGTAAGCAAGCATTGGGACCAGAAGTTGCACATCGGAATGATGAAAGAGATCATTTTAGGGTTGAATTCTGCGTGGAAGGAGAAGTGGGCGCTTGTTTTGGTGTTTTGTATGAAGATGACGGACATTCGTTTGAACTGGGAAGACAAAAGTATTGGCTGTGTCAAGATTAGCTGCCAAAATGGTCGTGTTGATTGGATTTTCCAACCAATTGCAGGACATGAGAAGAAATTGGTAGTCGTGATGGAAATGGGTCCTTTGCCTATTTTTAATCAGTCGTAACAACGTTTCTCTTTATCGTTGTTTACACTTGAGCTTACATAAGTAAACATTGAGGTTTTTTAATGAACCATTTCGTCCATCCGTCAGCCATTGTTCGTCATGACTTTTTCGTTTAATTTTGCACTGGAGGATGACTCGACGACGACGACGACGACAACGTCATCAATATCTACAACCCTATCTACCCCCTCCATCCCCTCGAAACGTTTACGTAACGGTGAAAGATTTATTTATCATCCAAATGCCACGTCTATGGCCTTCTCTCCCGTCCACGTAGGAACTCAAACGTTTCAGATCGTCAACACGACGGACGCAAATTTTGTGACACGCACAGGCGTCATCAGTTCGATCTTGATCACGTCAGACGTCCAGACGAATGTGTACGAAGGCGGTTTCAAGCTCTGGGAATGCGCGTTGGATCTTGTCAAATTTGTAGAGATGGAGGACACTCCAATGGCTACGACAGTATTGGAATTGGGTTGTGGTCATGGTTTACCAGGCATTCACGCATTATTACGAGGAGCAGAGAGAGTCACGTTTAGTGACTATAATAAGGAGGTACTTGAACTTACGACGTGTCCCAATGTGCTGCGGAATGTGGACAAGCAGTTGTTCAAGAAAGCCGATTTCTATGCGGGAGCGTGGAGTAGCATGTCTCGATACATGGAGGAAGTGGAGCAGCAAACACACGAGCAGATGCAGTTTGATCTTATCTTGACGGCTGAGACCATCTACACGGAAGCTGTGGCAGTGGAGCTGTACCAGGTGAGGTGACCTCAATGGGGTTCCTAGCTCGACCAATAGACTCATGTTTGTGTGTGTGTTTTGTAGACAATCAAGCGGCATTTGCGTCGTGCATCAAACGCTCGGGCGTTGGTTGCTGCCAAGAAGTACTACTTTGGGACGAATGGCAGTGTGCAGCATTTCGTCGGTCTTGTGCAAGCGGACGGGGTTTTTCGAGCTGAAACGGTATGGGAAGAGCGCGACGGTCGGTCGAATATGCGCGAGATTGTGCAGCTTACATACTTGGATGCAGCATTATAGTGAGATTCGGGTCAGCGAGTATCATCGTGAGGAGGACGGATCCATTGACGCGGTAGACGAGTGTGTTGCAGCGCGGATCGTTTGTTTTTCTTCCTTTCTGAGTAAATAAATCCATGGAGCCGTAAGATAATCTCGCCTTTCATGCACTGTGGCTGGATGCGTATAAAGTACACGATGGCGAATCGTTTACTGGTGAAGCTGATCCACCCAGCAGAAGCAATAAGAGTTTGGTGTGTTTCGCGTGGCGGTAAAGATACGCGTTTCCTTCGTACTGAGGTAGCAAACGTACATGATTCCGTTGCAGACCGCTTGCATACATTAGCATTACCTCAAGTCAGCTGAGATTACTACCTAGTAGTAGCAACGTACGGTTCTGCGGTGTATACAAGTCACGGGGAAGCAAGAGCTCACAGTTCATTAACATTTTACCAGCAGCGCAACACACACTTTTAGATCATTATCACCGCGTAAATTGGCACCGCCTGCGAGAATCACCACACACTGCGTCATTGTGGCAACGTGATGGTGCACAGCAGTTGTTAGCACAAGCACAACACGACAAATGCGTTCTTATCGAGTGTTCATTTGACTTCTTTGATGTTTACACTCGGGTCTGGTAGCCGAAAGGACAGCTCTATCTACGTATACGGACGATCAATCACGTACATGTCACCCGTTTTGCCAGCGGCGCCAAGGCGCATCTATCACCTTAAGTACTTAACGACAATACGTAAGCACAAATCATTGCACTTTAAGTGAGCATGGAAGCTCGGAGAGAAAAGTAGGCGGCAACTCAATGTATTTACTTCTTCGTCATTCGATCGTTTTGACGTCTGCGCTGAACTTGCATATGTCGTTCACAATGATGTTTATGTTGGTCCGACCTTCCCTAAGAGCTCCATACAATACCAATTCTGGTTGCTTGTCGGGTCGAGGCTGTCTGAGCACGCATCTTTTCGGTCATCATAGCGCTAATGAGGCATCGAGCGTGATTCACGGCTTCACCCCAGATGATTAAAACTTGCCTTGCAGATCCGTTGGACCCTCTAAGATCTGCCAGAGAAGACTGCAGCTAATCATCGGAGTTCGTGTCTGGCATTCGAAATGGCAAGGTCTTAACACCAGAGCAAATATATGACGCTATCGTAAACGTCTTTAGTATCGACAAGACGTTGGCAAAGAGATTGATGCGCTCTCTTCCGCAGCAAATGACGCTTGTAGACTTAGTATCCACGGCTTTTATTATACACAATGCGTCACTGATGCATAACGATGCCTATTTGAAGAGACTCGGCATAGATTAACGCCACTTTGGTAGCTACTTTTTCCGGTAAAAGTACGGATAATACTAAGCTCGACAAATGCTTTGTGGCTGCATCGAGACAACAAAGAGGAGCACAATGCAAGAAAGAAGACTCAGTGTACGCGTTGCCGGTTACGACTCAAGCTGCAGCATATGACGCAGCGCCTCTTTTGCTTTTTGCAATAGGAAATTATGAGTCAGAAACCATTTGAGTGGAACATGCCAAGACTTTTGTTTAGTCAATAAGAAGTATCCAGATGACTTTTTAGCAACGTGATAAGCCAATTACTATTATGACAGTGTTTTACTTGGCAGCGCAAATTCAATTGTTGGTGTCATTAGGCTGGAATGCAGCGGTAGTGGTCGATGAAGGAAGGCAGAGATTGTATATATAATGGCTACATTTTGGTGACCATAGCAGCGCATTTTAGACAATATCGCAAGGAAAATTTGACGCAACTGGCAGGATAATCGGGCGTACTTACTTAAGGAAGGACCTTGTTTTCAACAACCTGTAAAAAGACATACTGGCTACTTTTGTAGTTTTTTCATTTGTAGATATCTGCGACGTGTGTAAATGCGTACACCACATTCGCTGACCCACACGCTTCAAACCTCAGGTTCTGCTCATGTCTATGACTTCGTCACTCTTTCTACGTCGTACGCCTGGCGCTGCCCGTCTTTTACGCAACTTTTCCACAGCATCTTCTTCCTCCTCGTCTAGCGCCTCTGGTCCCATGACGCACTTTGGTTTTCAGCAGGTACCCGAAGAGGATAAAGAGCAAATGGTGGCGTCAGTTTTTCACAATGTAGCTGAACGGTAATTTTTGATATTTGATATTTGATACTTGTAATCTGTGATACTAAAACCTCTTATATGTGATATTACTCTAGATATGACGTAATGAATGACTTTATGAGCGGTGGCATGCACCGTGTGTGGAAAGATTCATTCGTTGAGACGTTGCATCCCGTCGGTCCATTAAAGTGTTTAGATGTCGGTGGAGGGACTGGAGATATTGCATTTCGCATAGCCGAGCAGCTTTCCAAGACAAATCGAGGCACGAAAGAGTCGCAAATTACTGTATGTGACATTAATTCGTCCATGCTCGAGGTAGGCAAAGAACGTGCTGCGAAAGTTTGGCAACATGTGGATCCGTCACTTTTTCGTTGGATCGAGGGCAATGCCGAGCATTTGGACTTTAAGGACAATTCTTTCGATGTTTATACGATTGTATTTGGTATTCGGAATGTCACTCACGTTGATCGAGCAATTCAAGAAGCTTATCGAGTTTTAAAGCCTGGAGGTCGTTTCATGTGCATGGAGTTTAGTCAAGTACCTAACCCACTTATTCGCCAATTCTATGACGCTGTAAGGAGATTTAATGAGGGGTTTTGGATATGTCATAGCTTGTTTTTTTGCTAACTGTAATTGTGACAGTACTCGTTCAATGTGATCCCATTTTTGGGTGATAAGGTTGCCAATGACCGTGCATCGTACCAGGTATAACGAGTATTTTGTTAGTTTGATGTAGATTGTCCTTTTCTTAAAACGCTTGTGTTTTGTGCTGATGCAGTACCTGGTCGAAAGTATCCGTCGTTTTCCACCGCAGGAAAAGTTTAAAGCGATGATTGAGGACGCTGGTTTCAAGCACGTGACTTATACAAACTTTACTTTTGGTGTTACGGCCATGCACTCGGGATTCAAGTTTTAAGTGCGTTAGACCCTATGCAGCATCGAATGAATGTATAGGGTAGAACGCTTGGCTCGCTCTCCCTGTATGATCAATACAAAAATTTGGCAGCGAGACTGTAGAAGCTATTGCTTAATATTGGAATATTCATGAGCAATGTAAAGGCAAGTCAACCAAAATGTAATCGGTACCTTATCATCTAAGGTGCTTGTAAGTGGTCTGGTGTCTACGTTGCCTCCTTGCTGTCAATGTGCGCGGTTGTAACGTGAATACGAGTTCCAAGGATTTAGCGCTACTATCTGGATACAATCCACTATGGTTCTTAAGAAGCGATGCATCGTTGCATGAAGGTAGACTCGGTGATTTTCTATGGTGAGTGCCGTATAGGTACTCGGCAGCGACATTACGTGACTCAAGCAAAAAGCCTGCGGAGCTGTAATGTGCACAGCCTCCTCAACTCAACGCATATCAAGATGGCATTAGCCGCAATTATGCAAAAAACAGCGAGTGCTTTTGTAAAATCCTACAGTGCTTTCTGCACCTCATGAGCTGGTCACAGGAAAAACAAAGATAAACAAATGGGAACGAGGCTGCGTTGCGTGACATGATCGAAGTCACCGATCGCACGTGCAGTATCTTTCATCTTGTCACAAGAACATTCACAGTTGTGATAAGCACTGATTTGTTATGGTATAGCGCGCACTTATAATGCCTCATTGAAAGCGGCCAAGCTTGTCAAGTACGCTCGCTCATACAGCGACTTGCAGTGTTTCTAATCGGGCCGATTGTACACAAATAATTAGCGATCGCCAACTCGAAAGCACTCTTCTTTCTAAAGTCAACGGGGTGTTAATAAAGCTCAATGGTTTACGTGAAGTAAACATGAATGCCTCCTGCGATCGCGAGATAGTCCTGACAGAGCACGAGTTGACAATAATCGAATAGCATCTGCGTTTTGAACAGAGCGCTTGTAACGAAGCAGGTACACACATACTTTAATTGCATTCCGCTCACGCGCCAACTTTCGTACAGGTCTCAGCATTTTATCGTCCTTAGCCTTAGGACAGCAGTTTGAGCAGTTGTTGGGCGTAATTGTGCTCGATGCCTGATCTACTGTGTCAAAGCTTGACCGCTGCAACTGATCATCTTTCTTCGTTCGCATACTTCGAGCTGTCAGGGTATACTGCCGAATGTCCTTGTAAGGATGCTGCCAACAATCTTCGTGGTGAGGTGGTGATACGCAGTTGCAAAACACTCGTAGCGCATCGCGTACCAGCTCAGAGTCTCTAGGATTGTTGCTCATCGCAATGTCCAGCAGGATGGTCATTCCTAGCTGTTTTAACGCGCTTCCTCCATCGAGCAATACTTCTGTTGAGCACACTTCGATAGCCAAAGATGGAACCACGAGCGTCAACACCCGAAGCGAGTCCAAGCAGAACTGTGCGCGTTCTGCAGTCCATATCCGAATAGTGGTGGAGTTTGCATCAGGGTCCGTGCTGTGCATCACTAAGCACATCATAGCTACAACCTCTAGAAGCACGAGAATACCTCGCAAATGACTCAACTTTGCCGCTGGAGGCCACATCCCATCGCCTGGACCAGTAGCTGCAGACCACGAGTTGCTGGAGTTGCCACTGGTAGCACTGAAACGATACTTTTCGTAAAATACCATATTTGCATCGTGAGTTTTGTCGTCGAGATCAATTGCTTTTGACCACGTAATTTTTGGGACTCGTGCTGGGATACGCGATGCTGCAGTCGCCGCCGTTAACGCAGGCACGGCGTTGGACACTCTGTTCGATGGATGGTTCAACTGAGCCAGCTTTCTCCTGAGCCGATGCGTCACCAAGGCCATCTGCATGCGTACATATTGACGCAAACACAAACACGCATCTTGTGCAAGTTGCCTTTGTGCCGAGGACTTTGGATGGTTGCCAACCCGAATAATACTGAGCACAGTGTACAAGCCGTTGTGCTTTTCAAAGTAGTCAAGAATTGCCTTGAACCCAGGGTAAGACTGAAGAAGACCACAGCATTCTGCCTTGCACGGTCATTGGGGCTAGAAAGTAGTGCAAATGCTGCCGATAACATATTATCTGCGTTCACCACAACAAGTCGTTCAATGACTGCCAATGAAGAAGCGAATCCATGAAGACACATCGACGAGCTTCGGTCTAGTAAACCCACTTGACCAGCTGCCTGCTGCAGTCTAAATACAGTGAGCAGCAAATCTGCTCCTCCTGCCTCAACAAGTGAGAAAGAGAACTTCTTGTGGGCAAGAAAATGTGACGTCAGTGTCATTGTATGGGATAGCACGGCAGGATTCTTGCTATGTAGGAAAGTGATGATCGTTGTAATGATATCTTCTTTCAGTGCTGGTGCAAATATCTCCACGTACTCACCCATCGACCCCAAGCAATCTAGATTATACAATGCTCCAGCATTACAAAACGCTTGAAATCCTCTTCATGATGTCCAGGACTTGGCACTACAATCGATCCATCTTCGTCAAAACTTTCCATAATATCGTCTTCATTGTTTGAAATCGGCTGAGACTAAAGACTATGAATTGGCTCCGCCAACGCCGCAAAATACAGGGTCATCGGTGGCGGAATTTATCATGCCAGTGCATGAAAACTCTGGTAAGTGGGAAATCGCAAGATTTTGGTGATAAGTTCGCATCCGTGAAAATGACAATGCTTACGTCTCTTTTTGACCTTCCAAGAGCTTTTGCACTAGGCGCATTTCAGATACAAAGAGTTCTCGTAGGTGTGATTGTCAGAGTCGCATCAAGGCAAGCCAAGTATCATTTTACAGGTTGTCGCAGATTATGACCGTGTTTGCTAACAAAGGTTGGTTACAACCGCAGACGTGATCGACTAGTTGAGCAAAGGTGGAAGGTGACTTTGGAAATTGGAGAGTGAATAGAACTCGAGCAGGACTTTCTTGCTTCTAAGTTGCTTTTAACGCCTTGTTCATCGTCATCGACGTCACCACAATGGTTTGCGGTGCAAACGACACGATAGCACAATGGCGTGGATACTTTGCTACTCTAAGCTACTCTTATTAAACAGTGAAGCCTTACCGAAGTTTATTCAAGTCTTTCTGACATTCCGTCGCACCAAGATATCGTCACGTTTTAATGCATCACATGCAGGAGGTTCTCACCACTATCAAAATCCAACAAAAACTATTCAGTACTCGTCGCTTTTCAGCTCGAAACTTCGCTTGTTAGTTAGCATCTTTCAGCACAGACATGTGCATCGTAAGTCGACTTATAGGAAGACTCGATCTTTTCCATTCAAACGAGCTCATATCTCTTAATGGAGATCAAAATCCATCAAAGTTTAGAGAGATTGAAGTGAACTGGCTGAGTGCGTTTGTCCTAGCTTTCAATCAAGTCCAAGTCGCTTCATGTAGTTCTAACCAGTCGAGAACTCATTTTCTTGGCAATATGCAGATCACATATCTGCATTTACCTGCCATTCTTCACTACTCGCTTCAATCAGAATGAAAAAATCTAGCATAATTGCTGCTTTATTAGCATGTGCTCTTGCCATTGCTACGGCTCAAGACACTACAGGTGGAGGACAAGAAGGTAGCATGATGACTGATAATACTAACCCAAATACCAATCCACCAAGTACCACACCTCCGGATACGGCTGCTTCAAATGGAGTTAATCCAGCTGCACCTAATGCAGTTGATCCAGCTGCACCTAATGGAGTTGATCCAGCTGCTCCAGTCCCACCTTCTACGCCGGTAACAGAAGCCCCGGGTCAAGTGTTGGCAACCAATCCTTCTCCAATGACCGACAGTGACAGTGGCAGCAGCTCTGCCAACGCTAGTGATCTCGAGTCTCCCGTGACAAAGAAACCCAAGAGAAACATGGACTCGGAGTCAAACTCGTCGAATTCGTCTAAAACCTCAAGCGCCTCTATGCTAGCTACTGCAATCGGAACTTGGACCCTTGCAGGCCTGCTCGGATTTGCTGCGACGCTATGATCAGAGGGATACGCACGCAAGCACATACCATACAACAAGACAATCCCATTGGTGCGAGACATTTTCCTAATTTTAGCATTAAGCGTTATTCAGTAAGCTTCTGATAATCACTCACACCCACTATGTTCAGTGCAATTGTCTCCGTCTCTATGATTGCTGGCTACATTTAGTCTTGCTTTTTTGGGTACAAAGATCCGTTTGCAACGCGATAAGAAGTTCTACGAAGGGAAAAGCCTATTCATAAATATGAGGCCAGCATTGCACGACAGGGTTTAGACAGTGCAAGCTGTTGCTGATACATGTGGCTTGACGTCAAATTGCAAGATCATCATTTCACCTATTCCACACTTGGGTCATATTTTGTTTGTGACAGATGGGCCAATACTACTATACTTTATTCAAGTTGTTTGCTCGAGAAGAACGCGTGGCACGAAAGCGACAAGCATCATCTGGCGCCGGCTCAGATTGACGCAGACAGGCTCTCGGTCGCCACGATTTCAAATAAGACTCTTGAAAATGCATGGGGCTTTTTTCTACCAGCCGGTGGGAAGTATGCGACCACAAATCATCTCGCGATTAGGTCTTTCTTGTCCATCTGTGGCAAAGGGGCGACAGCAAATTTTGGAGCAGCTGCGTACCAGACCACTCCCCTGTCCCTAAGTTCCATGCGTTGGTGCTTTAACTCGATAAGACGCTTGAATCAAGTCGGTAAGCTCTCTCCGTCATCGTAATGAGAAATGTCTACACGTATACCGGATGATAGAGCGCCATGTTGAACAAAAAAAACCAGTTAGACACAACCCGATGCTAGCTATGCTCTATGTAGGACAAGATGTCCTTTATTTAGACTTGAGTTCACTATAGCATCTGATGAGGTGCGTCGCATCAGTTTGCGACGCGACAACCATCCGAATCGGGCGATCTTCTCTGCCTTTCCCGAGGACGACGTCCGCTTGTTGTCAATCGCAACGCTGGAAAAGGAAGTAACTTAGGGCTTTGGCTAGAAAGCGGCTTCCGAGCGTCCTGCCAGCATCTCTTCATTCTCACATTTACCAGCAACTGCCAAGCAGCTTACTACTACTCCACAACTCTATCTCTACTAGAAGTATCATGAAGGTCTTCGGTTTCCTCGCTACTGCTGCTCTCGTCATTGCCGCCGCTGCCGGACAGGAAGCGTCCGCTACCGCTGGTGCGCCTGCAATGGCCGGGTCCCCTGCTACGCCAGCTACTGCTGGTTCACCAGCTTCTGCCGGTTCGCCAGCAAGCGCTGGTTCGCCAGCTGCCGCTTCAGACAGCACCCCTTCTTCTGGTGCCGAGACCCCTGCTGGCGGTGAAACGCCGTCTACTGATGATGACAAGAAGACGGCGTCTGGCGCGTCGGGCGAATCCCCTTCCACCCCACCCACCTCTACCCCTTCTGATGATGCCAAGGCTCCTGGTATGGAAATGAACGCCGGATCGAAGCCGTCTGACACGACTGAGACTGAGACTCCGGCTTCCCCTGCAACGGACTCTCCCATGACCAGCACGGACACGGGCGGAAGCCAGCCGGGAACACCTTCGTCGACGGACACTTCTACGCCTTCCAGCGCTGGACCGAAAGATGATAAGCCAAAGGATGATGAAAAGTCTGGTGCCGCTTCGGTGGCAGCTGGTAGCGTTGCTGCTATGACTGCCGTTGTTGTCACTTATTTCTTGTAAGCGACTGGACTTCAACCGCTGAAGTGAACCATGTTTTGCAAAACTTTCTGGACGCGAATAGAGTCGATAACAAGAGTCGAGGCAGTACGTAGTACTCCTCATACATGTTGAAAAAGCATTTGACGCTTCCATTGGTAACAATAAAATGCACTTTTCTGAAAAATTGCTTTCTTTTTCTTATCATTTTATTTTTTTTTAAAAATGTAATAATGTTACCTTTTATTCCCTGTGGTAATCGTTAGAATTGCGAGCAAGTAAGAGATTCTAGCTGTCCACAGCAACATATAACCTGTATAAATATATACACTTTTAAAACCATGATTTAATGCTGAGTCTTCCGTGGTGCCAGTCAATCACGAATATCCAGACAACGACGCAGTTCCTCGTCATGTTGACATCTTTCGCCCGCCGCTCTCAGCCCTACATGGCGCCCTTGTATACACGCGCCGGCTCATCGCTCATGTCGGATGTCCATGGTACAACACACGGTAAAAAACACTGGAAAAATAAGCCGCTATTTCGTCGTGGAGGCGACAAGCGGTTTCGAAATGGTCAGGAGGCTGCAGATATGCTCATGGATGAAGTAACTCGTCGTGATCCCAATCAAGTACGAAACCCCCTCATAGCTCCAAATGTAGCTCTTTATCTTGTCTTTTCAATAAGCTATTAACCATTAGCAACCGATTTGTATAGGAAGAGTATGTGCAAGCCGTGCAAAACTTTGTAAATTCCGTTGTCCCTGTTTTTGATCGGTATCCCAAGTATGCGTGGGTTATGAAGACGCTCATGGAGCCGGAGCGTGTAATCCAATTTCGTGTTCCATGGATCGATGACGAAGGCAGCAGTCGCGTGAATCGTGGCTTTCGAGTGCAATTTTCGAGTGCTCTGGGTCCCTATATGGGTGGATTACGCTTTCATCCGGAGACTACTCACGGTATTGCCAAGTTTTTGGGCTTTGAGACCATTTTTCGCAACGCCTTAGCTGGTTCTTATGGTGGTGCGCACGGTGGCTCGGATTTCAACCCGATGGATAAGAGCGAGTCAGAAATCATGCGCTTTTGCCAGTCATACATGACTGAGCTTGCCAACTATATTGGTCCACACACTGATGTGCCAACGTCAGGTGTTGGTGTCGGACCTCAGGAGATCGGGTACATGTTTGGGCAGTACAAACGTCTGCGTCAGATGCACCCTGGAGGTACTGAAGGCATTCTGAGTGGAGGTGCTTACCACTATCCGCAGGTAACGGGCTATGGTATAGCGCACTTTGCTAACCGTATTCTCGAGCTGCGTGGTGAGACCTTTAAGGGAAAGCGTTGCCTTATCTCGGGCAGTGGCACTGTGGCGCTTAACGTGGCGAAGAAGCTGCTGGACTTGGGCGCTATCCCGATTGGAATAAGCGACAACTTTGGCTACGTGATTGAGGAGCAGGGATTGACAACGAAGAGTTTGGCAGAGCTTATGCGTATAAAAAAAGAGCGTAACGCACGTCTTGGCGCCTACATCATGTCGTCCACTACGGCCAATTATCACCCGAGTGAGGAAGGTTGTTTGTGGGAGACGCCCTGTGACTATGCCTTCCCGTGCGCAATCCAAAACGATGTGGATGCCGATACCGTGCGTCTGCTTGTGAAGAACGGATGCAAGGGTATTTTTGAAGGCGCCAACTTCCCCTGCACGGACGATGCCGTCCGTCTTATCAAGCAGCACGGTCTGGCCTTCGGTCCCAACAAGGCTGCTAACGGCGCCTCCTTTGCACTGATCACGAAAAATCTCGGAGCGTCCACGCAACTTTCCGACACCGAGCTGGACAAGATCGTTAAAGGTACGACGTTTTTTAGGCGCGAAGATTGGAAAGTTATAACCCTATATGTATGTATATGTGTCTGTACAGAATACATGTACAAGCTGCACGACCGCGTGGCAGCTTCTGCGGAGGAGTTCAACGCCAGCGGTGATCTTCACATGGGCGCTAACATCACGGCTTTTATGAGCGTGGCTTCTGCCATGTTCCGCCAAGGTGTGGTGTAAGTCAGCTTCAGGTGTTTTGCGTACTTGACCTCGATAGTATGTCAGAAACTACTAGGCTATAGCTGAATTGCGAGACAGCTAGGGGGCAAAAATGATGCAGATGACAACGCAAACGCGAACTATTCAGGCTCAATACAATCCTGTAAGCTTGCTATCAGCCACTTGTGCTACACTGCTATGCGAATGCGAGTGCATGTGACAGGAGTGAGCCGACGATACCTCAGAACGCCACGTCCAGCAAAAGTTGAGCGATATCCAATACGGTCGCACCAAACATTGCGCACGAAACGTCGGATCAAATCGGTTTCGAACTGTTGGTTCAAGAGGTACGCATGTGTAAGCGGCAATCGCTTCATAGTTTATCGTGCTCATGGCACCCGTGCATCTCACCAGTTGTTGCAGAAAGCTCGTTGTTTATGATTTCCACTCGTCTTTTGTGCTTAGATGTCACTTGCTGCACCACGCAACGAAAAGCGCGCAAGGGAACACCTACCGTGATCAATTAAAGGGGTGTAAAAGCTGCTATATAATTACAAGCCGTCAGCCGTTAAAACGGAAGGAACTGCAGATGGTCAAGTTTCGGCCGGTCTGCGTGACCCCTCGAGTGTGGTTGGTATCTAGATATGAGGTTTACAAGCTCAGCGCCCACTAAGCTGTTTCATCTCAATATCATCTTACTTCCTGCTGGGTCCTCTGCACTACTTCGTTCACACTGCGTACGCTTTGTCTAGGAGTCAAAACTTACTCCTGATCACTGCTGCTGGTGGGCTTCGATGCGAATCCAATTTGCGCTGTTGTCTGCAACCCTGTTGGCGATTCAGAGCACAATTGTCAGTGCACAAACTTCGGCTTCATCAAGCACGCTCGCCTGCAAAAGCGTAGCACTCAGTTCACAGGCATCGTCAAAGTGGGTCGTAAGCTGCATTACTGAAGAAACAGTCCCCGCCTCGTCGGCCTCGTTCGATCCATCACTGGTGCAGGACTACTTCGTAAACAGTGACCCATACGTTACAGCTTCCGCATCCAACATCAACCTCTCGTCAACTTTCTCGAAAGTTGATGCCCTCGAATCTTCGTCAATCACGAGGTTTTCCTTGTCGGCTGCTCTAGGATTCAAACCAACCATCCCATTAAGCATCGTGCCTACGGCTTTTGCCGAGCTCTCCTCCCTCCAAATATTGTAAGTAAAGACGCTCACAGTATTTGTGTGGTAGCTGTGGTCGAACTTGACTATGTTATATGGTTTATCTATTTCTGTTTACTAGGCATTTGGAAGCTATTCCTCTAGCTGACAGTAACCTTTACCTATTGCTTCCGTCTTCCATCCAGCAAATGTACGTTATCTTTGACTTCACCGCTGCATGAAGTTACCATTCTCATCTCGTAAATTGATTGTTTCCAGATCGATTATTGATTGTGGCCTCAGTAACTTTTCAATCACGTTCACGGATGGCTCTCTCCTTGGCGACTCTGCGCTCTCTTTTATGTAAGTTTCATTTGATAAGCCATTAATATATTCTCTTGTACTCGGCCAGCTAACCCATCCATTTTTACCACCAGCGATTTACGTCTTAACAATCTGAATGAAGTCCCGGCATCTCTGTACGCTATGCCAAGCAGTGTATCAACCATCGACCTACGAGGCAATGACCAATTAAACTTTTCAGCAGAAACTACTGCTCATGCAAAGCAATTGCAGACTTGGAAAAGTGACGAGGTACTAAAAGCTGAAAGTGCTGTTTTCGCGAACTTGGCCTTGTCCAGTCAAGAAAAGCGGAAATCCATCGTTGGATCTGCGAGAATGAAGTCTCTTAGTGTTCTGCCAAACTCATCATCGAAAAGCAATGAAAGTATTACAGCTACTCGCATTGGCATAAACAAGAGTACAGTACTGGCCACTATCGTAGCCGTTGTGATGTCCACCATGCTGATTTTGGTTTTCGTGCTATCCTACGTCAAACGAAAGCGCAGAAACATGCAAGATCGGGAATCGGACGCAGTTCTTTGCTTGCCTCACCCATTTAGCAAGATGTCACGAGATCGATCCGAGTCATTAGGCAACTCTACAACTGCCGATAGTGAACTCTCTCGCAAGCGGCTGTCGTCTGGGGATAGCCACTACTATGATGCACATGACCGAGATTCTTGCGTGATGCTGGACATCCCGCTCGCTGATGCACATGTCGAACCAACGCAGCCGTCAAAAAGTATGTTAACATCAGCTAGCTACGTCAATGTCATTTGCCCCATCAAAATCTCGCCGGCCAACTCGAAAAAAGAAACATCCAGTTGCGTAAACGGCAGCAACAATCACTCACTCGAGCTGCTCGGCGCTAAGAGCACTGTTATTACGACACCAGCTCAAACGCGTCTCGCAAACCGAAAAAGGCTTCGATTGGCACTCAAGACGCTACTTGAAGCGAAACCCAGTGCCAACGACATTTCTTCTTACACACTACTCACTGTTAATACTTGCGAGTACTCGTTCAGCCCAGGCACAAAAGTCAAGGAAACACCACTTGCATTCTTCATCGACTGTCAACTTGATAGCTGTGGCGGAAAACCAAACTCCGTATCAGTTCCACCCTCCAAGCTTACACTCAAGATATTTGTCGACAATGATGCACATATGGCAGAGCGAGAAAGTTATGCGCTTTCGTGCTTGCAACAGGGCGACTCCACGCGAGGCTTTGCCCCACGTATTCACGATACCGCTCTCGAATACGAACTAGTCGGCCAATATTCCAAGCTCAAGCCAAACGTTGCAAAAATAAACTGCTGCATCCTGGTGCTGGAAATGCCGAGCTGCATTAGGCTAAGTGCTGAGATGGCTGCCTCTGGTGAGCCGTCACCTGAGCAGATCTCTTGTGTGCTAACGGCAGTCCGCGCTCTCCACATCCGAGGACTTGTTCATGGTGCTTTACACACAGACAGCCTTGTAGCATGCTCGCCTTATGGACGTTTGAAGCTCTGGGGTCTTGAGCACGCCTCAAGAGCTGGACACACTATTCCGTGTCCAAATGCAACTGTTCTTGGAGTTCGTGAAGCCGAGTACGTGGCTCCTGAATTTGCTTCATTTGCACTGAAAGAAACATCAAGCTGCCGTGCTGCTCCTTCGTTGGATGTCTGGAGTCTCGGAGTAATAATTCTAAAGATGTACGTCTCGGGTCAACAACTGGAAGAGTTTGAAGGCTGCACGACACCGCGAGATGTCTTCCGACGCCTAAACGCATCAGACTTCGACGGAAAAGCATCACGCCCTTGCTTTTTTAGACGATCGATTGCTCGGTTTGTGCAGAACGATGACCTGAAAGACACTCTGCACCAGTGCTTGCAGCGCAATGGGACATCCAGACCTTCCATTGACTCAATTTTAAAACACAATCTTTTCCAGCCAAATAGACGCAGGGTGCCACGGCCACTTTCAATGAAAGCGTCTCGTAGCTCTCCTGCAAGTATGAAAGACGAGGACTTGGTCACGTCCTACTGGTCGAATGACATACGATCTTTAGGTGAACCTGAGCGCGAAGCTAGCGGTAGGGACCACTCTTCCGACACCATACCAGAAAAGGTCCTTGAGCTGCTCGACGTAGCTCCTGAGCCACTACCACCGAGTTTGTGTCTCTTTTTGCCTCCAGTGGAGTTGAAGCTTGATTTGACACAGCGTACCAGCTACTCAGTAGAGCAATGGGTTTCCCAACTCAAGCATCTACAACAACAACAAGCAGACGAACTGCGTTTCCCACTTGTTTTTATGTGCGAGTCGTATGAATTGAACACTGCCGTGTCGTGCAGTGTCGCTACTATGACAAAGTTTGGTGTAAGCGTATCGGCTTCTTTGCTGCCGCTTGTGATGCCGCTTGTGCGAGAAACGATGCTTTTCCTCGAGGCTCGCGCAATTGTGTGTAACGGGTCAAAAGCTGGTAAAGCATGTGAACTTGCTAGCCCTCACCCATGGCACCAGCTTCGAACATTTTATCGCGCACTCGAACACATGGAGCTAGCCACTGTGAACCCCGTGAACGAAGTCGAGCTTGCACCGATGGAGCAACAATTGAATGCTCGAGACCCGAGAAAAGCTCAAAAAGTGCTTGAGAAACTCGCCCGTCTTTTATTCAGTAAGGACAAACGAGAATATATCCGAAACTTGCTCGATGCTTTTGTTAGTGATGAAGACCTGGCGTCTCGCACTGAATGCGGCAGTTGGGCTGCATTACGCCGTTTTAACATGGCTTATGAGACTTCGTCAACGTTAAGTCGAACGCGTTGGCTATGTAGTCACCATGCACCGCACTACATTTAATGGCATCAACAAGCCCTCGCTCGACCTTAAGATGCAAATGACCATCATCGAGTTGTTGTAAAACCTTCTTTTTCGTACACTTTGGTGAAGTCGTTCTCGACTTGCTGCAGCTGAAGGATAGATTATCTTCCACATATTATGCGTTCATACCTGTCAGGTAGAAACGAGGGATCGGTCCGTTGCAATTCATTCTAGCGCCATCTTTATTTGTAAAACTATTTTGTTTTCTAATAGGAAGAGAGGCATCATTCTTCTGCAAGTACAAAACTAGAATCGTTTTTCAGATGTTCTGAAGGTAATAAATCTTCTTTCGGAAGCTTTTCTTTGGCTTTGATGTTGATAATTCGTCTGCCGTAGATGCTGAAGTGGTAGCCAGGCTCAAATCGATCCATCGGGTTCGTGCGGACAAAAAACAACAGTACCAAGCCTACCAGAATGATAATGAAAATGTCGTTTGCAGTCGAGATGTAAGCCTCACTGGTAGAGACTCCGGCTTCGATCTTGCTGCTGTAAAGGTTGTTGAAACTGATGCCACCAACAACGCCCCCAAATGACCATGCCGTCAGAATTAGTCCATGCGTTGCACCTATGTTAAAGGCGCCAAACATATCCGTGAGGAAGGCCGGGATTGTGCCGAAGCCCCCACCATAGCTAGTTGTAAGAATAAAAATCTCCGCCACGAAAGCCGTGTACTGATTGTTCCGAATCAACATTGGCGTTGTGCCTACAATGACAAGCTGCAGGACCAAGGTCGTATAAAATACGCACTTGCGCGCAAACGAGTGCTCGATATTGCAATAACGAGCAACGACATCCGATGCCAGGGAGAAGAAAAGTCGACCGAAGCAGTTAAACACGCCATTTATCGACACGATGTTAGCCGCTTCATCGCCTGTTCGACCAAAGATGTCGGTGCACATGTTGGAAAGTTTGGATAGCACGACCAGCCCGTAGATCTGATTCGCAAAGAACATAAGGTACATGCATATGAAGTCTGGTGTCCTGAAAGCGTCGATCAACGACAGCTTGCGCACCTGGGCATTTGTACTAATGATAAAATCAATATCATTGTCGGATCCAGCAGACTCGTAGCACCCTTTTAGCTCCACAGTGTCTGTCGCCGTCCCATGGTCGTCTACCACTTCGCCATGAATGTTAAGTCCACCAACGGTAAAGTCGAGGTGAGGCGTGCGCAGCACAATAGCGCACAAGTACATCGTGCTAGCCATTACACCGCCAACAACTAAGAAAGTCGACGAAACTCCAACAGTTTCAATGCATGGTCGATAGACTTTTGCCCATACAACAGCTCCGGCGCCATACCCTGCAACAGCAAAGCCTGCCGCTGTGCCACGATAATCTGGAAACCACTTTTGCAACGCTGATATCGGAGCGATGTAGCAAAGACCCATGCCGAATCCGCAAAACAGACCATAACCGACGTACACTGCAGCAATAGCCTTGTACGCAACGCCGATGGCCACAACTCCGTGACCCATGAGAAATGACGACGTACCCAGCACAACACCGTTGCGCGGGCCGTTGCGTTCGATCCAGGGACCCATGATAGCTGTCGTTGTGCCGAAAATGCCTACTGCAATGTAAAACGCATTCACAGCATTGCCAGCCTTCGCGTCATTGTAGACATGATTATCGATGGGCTTATTGAAAACTGACCAGGAATAGAGTGAACCGATGCAGAACTGCACCAGAAAACTCGCGATGAAGAGATACCATCGCGAAAAACGAAGGCAGTGCGACGAGTAATAACGATCATTTCCCAGGTAAAAGGTAAAAAGCCATTCTTCGGCATCATACTGCTCCGGTGAGCAAGAATTCATAGGCATTGTCCAGTGTTTTGCGATTTTCGCTTGAATGTTTTGAACATAGGATTTCTTCATCTCATCTGTCGTGGACGTTATATGAATGACGATAAATGGCTTTAGAACAGTAGGGCTATATGACCCTTGTTTTCCGTAAACGACAAGGACCTTAATCAAGAGCTCGTGAAATGAAGAATGCTAAATGTCTTGGTACCTTACACTCAACAGTTTACAACAACCAGATGGCAAGCTCCATGCGAACGCTGAATCCAGAAAGTGAAAAAAAAGATCAGAGACCCGACCAGAACAAAGGCGATTCTTCGTCAGATCCTCCTAGTGCACCTACTTCAAAGTAAAGCTTAATCTTGTGGAATTGTCGGAATGATGACAACAATCTACATTGAGGTCTATCTTTCACATTGCCAATGAATACTGTGCATGTATATATGGTTCGTGTCCTTTAACTATAGCAGCTGGGTTCTAGTTTTACCTGCTCCTCTTCGAGTAACCTGTAGCAGTGTATGGCTTTCAAGCTTATGACTTACAAACCAAACGTGTAAATTCAAGTTCGCCCAAATAATTCCTGATGCATGATCTACACTAGGAATACGTACATTGCTCTTTTATCATCACTCGATCAGCCATTAAGTCGGGTTACTACGCTGCATCATGAGCGGCTCCTCCTTCATTATCTCCTGTTTACCTTTGATGTTGATAACGCGTCTTCCAAAGATGCTAAGGCGGTAGCCTGGAGCAAACCGATCGGCGCCTTTGGTACGTACTAAAAAGAGAAGCATGAAGCCAACGATCACAATGACCAATATACGGCGAACACTGTAGATATACGCTTCACGGATGTCCCAACCGTCCGCGATCTGGTCACTGTACGTGTTGTTAAACGTGATACCTCCCACAACACCACCGATCGACCACGCCGTCAGGATCAATCCATGCATAGCACCGATATTAAAGGCGCCGAACATGTCGGTTAAAAAAACCGGAATTGTACCAAACCCACCACCGTAGCTTGCTGTCAGGATGAACACTTCAGCCACAAATGCAGAATAGTTGTTGTTGCGCATAATAATCGGGATTGTGCCGAGGATAACTGCCTGCGACGCTAGCGCGTAAAAATACAAGCATTTACGCGCGAAAGCGTGTTCCATTTTGATTTTCCGCACGAAGACGTCGGACAGGAGCGGAAACACCAAGCGACCGCAGCAGTTGAATACACCGTTGATAGATACGATGTCCGAAGCTTGATTGGCAGACTTGTCAAATATATCGGTGCACATACTGGAGAGCTTAGACAGCACGATGAGACCGTAGAGCTGATTTCCAAAAAACATAATGTACATGCACACGAAGTCTGGCGTCTTGATGGCATCAATTAGCGTGAGATTGCGAATCAACGTTTCCGTAGCGGGGGTAAAATCCACAGTCTTTTGGACACCTTGTTTGGTCGTCATCGGGATGGACTCGTACTCGTGAGGACTGACTTTATCGCCAAGGGGCATGGCTTCATCAGCTTTGTCGACTTCTTCTCCATGGATATTGAGTCCACTCACCACGAAACCGAAGGGAGGTGAGCGTAATACGAGAGCAGACATGTACATGGCAAAAGCCATCACGCAACCGATGAGAATGAATGTTGACGACAAACCAATCGCATCAATGCACGGAAGATAGACCTTGGCCCACACGACCGATCCGGCTCCATACCCACCCACTGCAAAGCCGGCAGCAGTGCCACGGTAGTCCGGAAACCATTTCTGCAACGTCGACACGGGAGAAATGTAGCAGAGACCCATGCCAAAGCCACAGAAAATGCCGTAACCAATGTAAATGGCTGCAATCGCCTTGTAGTACACGCCAATACCTACGATTATATTGCCAATGAGGAAGGATGAAGTACCAAGGACCACCCCAGCACGGGGTCCACGGCGTTCGATCCACGGACCCATAATTGCTGTGGTTGTACCGAAAACACCGACCGATATGTAAAAGGCGTCAACTGCACGACCAGCCTTCTCGTTACCGTAAACATGCAAATCAATGGGTTTGTTGAATACAGACCACGAGTAAAGCGAGCCAATGCAGAATTGCACCAGAAAGCTGGCGAAGAAGAGATACCACCTCGTGAAACGCAGAAACGGCAGCGAAAAGTACCGGTTGTTGCCGAGGTAGCACGTGATAAGCCACTCTTCAGCCGCATCTTGTTCGACTGTCCGGTGCTTAGGCGGGACCGTCCAATGACCAGTAATCATGTCTTGTGTACTTCTCAGAAACGTCTTTTTTTGATTTAAGTTGTCGTGTGTGATAGGGTCTTCAATAGCCATAATGAAAGATTGAGAAACTTGTAAGAAGGTCACAGCTTAACAGGCATCAAACGATTTGAAGAGTGAGTTAAGAGACTGAAGTGGTGCGAATCGAAGTTTGTGCTTTTGTGTGTGTAGCAATGCTGTAACGGGGTTACACGACGGTTTCCGGGAGTTTACGGTTAAACTCCCCTTGTATTGCATATAATGCATTAGGATTGTTCTCTTTAGAGAGGTATTAAGTATAAGCGTTAAAGATACGGTATTCGGTAATACCGTATCCTATCGGATAGGATTCGATAATCGATAACGCTGTACTAAGTACATCATACACAGATGTTTAGACGATACGTCGTCCAATAGCAAAGTCTGCATATAATAACTACTATTATAGTAATTAATCTAGTGAGGGTACTTAGAGTGGGACTATTCATAAAATCTTAAAGCATAAATAAAATCAGTTCTCCTTTTGAGTTTAAGATCACAAGTCGTTCTGACTTGTTCTCTTGTGCACTTCGTGCGTTGGTTCTCTGAACCTCTAAGCTTCTAGCTTGTTCTTGCACCCTGTGCGTTGGTTCTCTGAACCTTAAGCTTATTGCTTGACTGACTAAAAGTCTCTCTCCTAGTTCCTTAGAACAGGGTTACTTTCAGTCGTTTAATTAGTTCCTTAGAACTAAGTGGCTTTTAGCCTTAACTCTATTTACTTCTATAGAACTAAGAGGCTTCCAGCCGAAAGTCTTCCTCTGGCTAAAGAGCTGTGCAGCTCCGCTACACTTGGTAGCACTTGTAGTCAATCCTACACCTGAGTCTTTAAAGACTGACCCTCTGTGAGAATGGAGAATCAAAATCACCTCTCTGAGGCACAACGACTCGCCTTAGATAAACTATCTGCGTTCGTCGGACCTGATCAAATCGAGGCCCTTTTGGCCCAAGGCCCCGAGGTTCTAAATGCTCGTCTTGAGGCCTTTATGCGTTATGAGGCAACGCTCCTCGGGCAGGTCCATGACCAGGCAGCGTCAGCCGCGCCTATACAGTACATTCCGGTACCTGTGACCGATGCAGAGCCAAAGGCTCGTCCACTTGTTTTAAGTGTCAAGACCTTCGAGGGGAAGGAGGGAGAGAACCTTCTCCTCTGGATCCGAGAAGTTGAAATGGAAATGGATGCCGCCATGCTTGCATCCGATAAGCAACGAGTTGGCTTGGCCATTTCTAAGCTCGGTGGAAGAGCTAGAGAGTGGGCTCTAACGAGCGGTGTCTCTGTAAATGCTGCATTTCCCACATGGGAGATGCTTAAAAAGCAATTAACTTGTGTGTTTGCACCGCCTAATCAGGCTTATCGTGTGCGCTCACGCTTCCTAGCTACCCGACAAGGTAAGAAAGAATTGTCGGACTATGTCCAAGAGTTGAGAACTCTCATTGCTGCTATGCAGCAGGACCCACTGGCAGAGGAAGTCCGAGTAACCATTTTTATGGAGGGACTTCGCACTGGGGTCGCCAGGACGGAAGTTTTCCGTGTCCAGCCTTCAACTTTTGAGGAGGCAGTAAGCGTAGCATTTAACGCTGAATTCAATTTTAAATCTGCTCGATATGGTCTGCCCTGGTATCAATCAAATACCTCTAATAGGGCGGAACCCATGGACCTCAGCCATGCTGAAGAAGCTGAGCTTCAAGCTGCTGAGCAGCAAGGTAGCATCCGTAGATGTTACATGTGCGGAAGCACTAGGCATCTCCGCCCTAGCTGTCCGTTGCGAAAGCAACGTTCAAATCGGCAAAGCCGAAGCCCTGCTCCTAGCCAAAAGGCGAGCACCGCAGGGGAAAATGTCAACTCCCAGTAGGCGCGGGGCGCCCTACTGGGAAAGAACTAAGTTCTGTTGAATCTTTAGGAGGTAAAGGTAAACAGGGCTTAGCCCCAGGTGGTTCTGTGGATGCTCCCATAGAACAAAATTACAAGCCAGGCTTGTTGGTTGTGTCGGCAACCGTTAAGGGTTTTGAGAAACCCTGGTCAATTTTAATTGACTCAGGGGCGTCAGGGAATTATGTCCGACGTCGCTCCCTTGAGGGGAGTCAGCTGTATGCTGAGGCGCTGGAAGCGCAAGAGGGTGACAGTATAACCGTACGTCTCGCGACTGGTGTACGTGTCACCGTTCCTAAAGTTCCGTTGAACTTAGGTGTGAAATTTTTAGATTTCAATAGCGTTGAACGCTGTCTTGTCCTAGATTTGGACTCGAGATATGATCTCATTCTCGGTATGGCCTGGCTGGAACGCCATGAGCCGTGGATCGATTGGAGATCCAAAACTTTAGGTGCAACGCGCAATGTTCCTAGCGAAGCTTTGGAGAGTCATGAACCCACCTTCGCTAGAAAACAAAAGTGCTATTGGCGCGAGCCATTAACTGATTCAGTTAATGTGCTGGACATTGGAGTGTCTGAGTTGATAAACTCCGATGTCAACAATAATAGTGTCGAGCAGAGCTCAATGACACTTAGTGGAACGGCACGTACTCCGTTAAGTGATACTGTTAGTGATATTGGCTGTAAATGCGATTTACTGGATGTCGGTAATGACATCGGCTCTCGTATAGAGCGAGTGAAGGTCAATGACCTTGTTAGTGAAGTCACTGGTACTAGTGACCCACTGGGTGTCGGTAATGACATCGGCTCTCGTATAGAGCGAGTGAAGGTCAATGACCTTGTTAGTGAAGTCACTGGTACTAGTGACCCACTGGGTGTCGGTAATGACATCGGCCCTCGCATAGGGCAGGTAAATGACAAGGGGTCTGCTGACCTTGGGGATGATAATATCCCAAGTACTTTGAAGAGTACGGTCTCGTCAATGAGACGGCAGCGTCGCCAGATGGCGGCTGCGAGACGCAAAGCGTCTGTTTTATCGCATAATAATGTCAGTGACCAGTTGTACACCCTGGTCAACGGAGTGACAGGTGATGTAGATGGTGAGGTTGACCTTGAGGCCCTCCCATCATTAAATGCTCTTTTAGAGCTAGGCGAAATGTCTGTGGATGAATTTCATCAGGCCTTGAAGGCAGGTGCTCTGTCCGATATGGTGGTCATTCGACCTAACCTCGAGCTGAACTCATCCTCGCTTGTCGATGAGACAGTCCTTGAAGATACCAAAGCGGCACTAAGTGCACGTAGTGGGGCATCTATTCTAAAGGACCCTTCAGATCCCTACTATCCTTTGGTAAAAGAATTCCAGGACGTGGTGTGTCACGATCCACCGTCGGTTCTACCACCTGATAGGGGCGTACGTCATGAAATTGACTTGGTTCCCGGAACCAAATACTGTGTAACACGGCAGTGGCCTTTACCCAAAGAACAGTGTGACGTCATTGACGAGTTCTTTCGTGCAAAGCACGCGGCGGGCATGGTGCGTGAAAGTAAATCTCCGCACTCGACACCCACTTTCTGTGTTAAGAAACCAAATGGTAAATGGCGTATTGTTCATGCTTATAATAAGCTCAATGCGGCCACTATACCTGCACAGACGCCAGTACCTAGAAAGGATGTTCTTCAGAACAATATGGTCGGTTGTACCATGTACAGTGCGCTCGACTTAGTCGATGGTTATTACCAATTGCTCATGCGAGCTAGTGATATTCCGCTTACTGCTGTTAGTACTCCGAGCGGTATGCTCTGGGAGTGGTTAGTGATGCCCCAAGGGCTATCTAATGCTCCGGCTACGTTTAACCGTTTGGTGACGCAATTGTTTCGACCCCATCGAAGTTATGCACAGACGTATTTTGATGACATTTTTGTCCATAGCCGAGCTGAACATGGTCGGTCAGATATTGAGAACCATATTGTTCATTTACGAGCAGTGCTCGAGTGCATGCGCACTAATAAGTTATATGCTAATGCCTCTAAGTGCATCTTCGGGGCCGAAGAAATTCCCTTTCTAGGGTGCTTCATTGGGAAGCGAGGACTACGAGCGGATCCCGCCAAAGTCAAAGCCATAGTCGATTGGCCTGTTCCACAGTCTCAGAAGGACTTGTGTAAATGGCTTGGCCTTGCCAATTACTTACACAAGTATAGCGAAAATTACGCTGATATGGCTCGGCCGTTATCCAATCTCCTTAAAAAGGATGTGGAATGGTGTTGGCATGCCGAACACGAAAATGCTTTTCAAGCAGTGAAGGCAAGCCTTCTACATGCTCCTATTTTGGCTTTGCCAGACCCTGACCGACCGTTTAGCGTCGTCTGTGACGCATCGGATTTTGCCATTGGCAGTGCTCTGTTACAATCAGATGATGAAGGCCGTGAGCGTGTAATCGCTTTTGAATTCCGCCAGCTGAAAGCTGCAGAAAAGAACTATCCAGTTCACGACAAAGAGCTACTTGCGATGAAGTATGCCCTGGTCAAATTCAGAGTTCATCTGCTGGGCTCAAAGCCTTTTGTGATCTATACCGATCATGCGTCGTTACGCACTGCGACTCAGTCGCCGCATCTCTCGCAGAGAATGGCCCTCTAGCTTTTATTCTTTGCCAAATATAACTTCGTGGTGAAGTATAAGCCTGGCAAGCAAAACGCTTTGGCTGATGCGTTGTCACGCAGACCTGACTATGAGCTTGATCATGTTACGACGTTGTCGTCTTCGATCATCGATCTCATTCGGACGGCGTAGGCTAAAGATGATCACTGTATAGCGTTGCTACATGCTCTTGGCAGTGAGGAGTTTAAAGACTCGGACATTAAATTGTCGGCACGATTGCGTGCAAGCCTCCATCGATATTCTATCGATGAGGGGCTGTTGTACTATCGTACAGATGTAGCGGATCCTCCGCGTATTGTAGTTCCTCATGACGAGGACCTGAAACATCGTATCCTCTATGAGGTACATGACACCGCCATCGGTGGTCATTTGGGTCGTGAAAAGACCTATGGGGCAGTATGCCAAAGTTATTGGTGGCCCAAATTATACAAATGGGTGAGCACATATGTGCGTACGTGTGAAATGTGTCAGCGGGTGAAACCCTCGCCCCATTCGGCAGCACCACTGGCTAGTT